TTCAAAGAGTTGCCTTTACTTTTTCACTAAGAAGCACAAAAGGCCCCACTCTTTTGTTTCCTGATGATCGGGAAAGCCAGGAAGCTCTGACACGCTTCCCTCTTTGTTTCTCTGAAAGGACATCTTTAGAGGAGATCTTTGAACTTCCTTTGAGGAACTGTCTTGAGGAACTATTGGCCCTTATCTAATGTGATTCATAAAGGGAGAGGTCTGGACGTGACGTGCTGCTCTTGGGCAGCTTACCTGCGTCTGTGTTGGACAGTCCGAGATCGTTCCTGGTGGAGAGGCTGCCGGGTGCAGCCCACAGTCTCCAGGGCTCCTGGGGATTCTGATTCAGGAGCTGACGAGAGCTGGGTCTTTGAGTGAATGATGGGTAGGTGAGATTTTGCATTTAGAGTTGATGCCGGAATGATGAAAGCTTTGGGGGATGTCGGGTGAATGTCTTTTGCACATGGGAAGGACATGAATTTGGGGGCCAGAGGGTGGACTATTGTGGGTTGAACTGTGCTCCCCACCCAAAAAAATTTTTTTTGGCATCCTAACCCCCAGTACCTCAGAACGTGACCTGATTTGGGAATAAAGTCTTTACAGAAGCAGTGAAGTTAAAATGAGGTCATCAGAGGGAGCTCTCATCCAATGTAACTGCTACCCTCATAGGAAGGGGAAATTTGGACACAGAGATCCCCCCAGGACAGTCTGTTATCAGGTGGTCAATGCATTGAACCACTTCAAGCAACCCGAAGGTAGTGGAAAACGGGTAGATTTTGAAGTCAGAAAGTCCCAGATCCAAATTCTGCTGCTTCCTTTGCCCTGTGACCTTGGGCACTCAGTATGGATAAAGGGGACACTTGGCCCTCTCTCAGGGTTACTGTGAGGATGAAACGGGGCTGTGTGTAAACCAGGCAGCATGGGGCGATGGGGTGGGTGGGCGGGGAGGGGTACTGGATAAGTGGGAGCTCTCATTGTAACTGGGCTTCTTGTGTTGGAGTGACCGTCACCTGAAGATGCTCTTTTCACCTTTGGGGCCCCTACTTCTCACCGCTTATGGACTTTTAAAGCTGGAAGGGCACGTGGAGGCTCTCTGTCGCCCCTCCCCCTGAATATTACAGATGAGGCACCTGAGGCCCAGAGAAACAAGTAACTGCAGCTGGCCTTGCTTGCTGTCTCCTGGGGCCTCCGGGAGCCAGGCCGGGTGCCCTTCCAGCAGCTGAGTGGCATCAGCTCACCATGGGTTTCACTCAGGCCTTTTGAGGACCTCCCCAGAAGATGCTCATGTGAATTAAACATCATTCTCATTGCCATCGGTGAGACCCCCTTTGATCAATTACCAGCTAATCTGGGGTGACCTCTGCCTTCTTTAGAGTCACCAATCCAGGAGAATGGAGGCAGCTTTGGGACAGTAGAGCAACAGCCAGGATCAGGAGGAAGGTCCCCACCCACCTCTGGCTGAGCTGCCGGCCTTGCCACCTCGGAGCTCGCACGATCCCCCTTTCTGTTTCGGCTTCTTCGTGCCCCATCTGATATCAGAGCCTTGCCTAGAGGCCCAGCCGGCTGTTAACCTGGGGCCTGTAAAAATAAACATTTTAAAGCTTCTGAGTAAACTGTTTGATTTCATACTAATAATGTAAACATGTGGCTCCAAGAGCTCAGAAATACTTCAGGACAACTGCTTACTTCTAGACTAGTCTCAAATAACCAGGATCAGCCCTCCTCCAAATAATCTGTTGGTACACAACACGGGCCTGTGAGCACAAAGGTGCTTCTGCGTGAACTACAGCAAGGGCCAGGGGGAAGGCCCGGGATCAGGTGGAACAAGTGGGCCTGGGTCTGTGAGCGGATCTGGCAATAACGCGTAAGGAAGAACTTTGACCCCAGCCTGGCCTACGTCAGAAGCTGATACAGGCACAACCATGCGAATGAAAATAATAAAAGACCTGAAAGTGCCTCTAAGACTGGTCCTCAGCCTTTCCTGATCGCCTCAGCCTTTCCCGATTGCCCTCTCACTTTGCTGTTGTGCTTCAGAAAACAACAAAAAAACCCCTCTAAATCCTCTGTGCCCTTCCCATCTTAAATTCCATCTATTCTCAGAGGTTTCAGACCAAAGCAAGAGACTTTGGGCCTCCGAACACTTGTGGTCCTGTTCACCCCATCACCCTCTGAGGCAGAGATTCTCAGGGGGAGTCGTTCCCAAACCTGACCTGACCAGAATAATGATGATCAGCTGGGTGTGGGAACCAGCCACGTGGACCCCCTCCTGTTACAGAGGAAGAGCCCGAGGCTGGGAACACTTAACATGAGTCATCCAAGGTCGTACCGCTAGACTCATTCAAGGTCAGGCCACTAGGTCTCAGCGGTGTGGCGGTGAGGACCCAAGCCTTCTCCTCCCAAGCCCTGTGTGCCTTCCCTTTAACTGTCCTGTTTAAATTCTCACTGCTGCTTTTGGGGTAATTCTGCCTTTCCCAGCTATATCTCCTCCATTTTCTTCCTCTTCGTCTTTTTCCTTCCTCGCGTACTAATGTCTCTGTAGGAAACAGGCCTAACTTGTCATAGACTTGGTGGGCAATAGCCGCACAGGATTCCTATTAAAATTCCACCCCCCTAGTGGAGGTAAGCTTTTAAAGTATTATCATCCAGGGAATGCCCTGGCGGTCCAGTGGTTAGGACAACACGCTCTCACCGCTGAAGGCCCAGGTCCAATCCCTGGCTGGGGAACTAAGATCCCACAAGGCCGCGTGGCCAAAAAAAAAAAGTTTTATCATCCAGATACACTTTGGTGAAAATTAAGCGGTTGAGACTAGGCTGTGATAGGAGGGAAAGAAAGGACTGGAGGCTACTCATGGTGGCTTCTACTACCCGCTCCCCAGCCAGGAGCTAGACATGAGAAGGATAGAAAGGAAAAACTGGAAAACCGAACGCAGGTGTCCGGCTGGACCTATTTGAAGCATGCTCATGTGTCCCGTTCTTTTTCCTCTCTAGGCCTTCGCCTATGCTGTTCCCTCTACCTAGAATGCTTTTCCCTCCCTGGCTCCTGGCTAGCTTCAACTCATCCTTCTGGACTCAAGTGTCCTCTCCTCTATAGGCTCCTCTCTACCCTCTCTTTACTCCCCACCAGACACCCCAGGCTAGACACCCCAGGCTAGCCTTGTGTTCCTCCTGTGTTTCCATATCATTCTGCATTTCTACTGTCTTAACACCAAGCGCTCTGTATGATAATTGCCTTCTCCTTTCCTTGGGCAGCAGGAGTTCTGTAAACTCAGGGTGGAGTTAGCAACACAACTTGATCTTGTTTTCTTTACATTGACTTAAATCCAGGTCTGAGTCTGTAATCTACTGGGCTGGCAGGAAATTCCATTTCAGTCCAAACTGGGGCCTGGCCCCTTCCTTAGGGTCATATAGGAACCTAAGAGGATGATGTGGTGCTTGGAAAAAGAGGGGCCTTGAGTTTTTAGGGCATCCGGGTGGGCTTGATGTCCTTGTTGTCCAAGCCTGAGGAGACTCTTGAGGTCCAGGAGCCCTCTGTTTCTCTTGCAGACCCAAATCACGGGTTTGTTTCTCTGTGGGGCTGGGAACCCTGGGATCCAGGGGTTAGCCCCCTCCGTGCATTCCCTGATGTGGTCTTGCCACCTCTGGGCTCTGCTAAGGACCACGGCACAGTCCCCACTCGTGGAGCTGCAGTGTCTGTCCCCTGCTCCATTGGGGGGACACTGGCAAAAACTCTCTCCTTTTGCCCCTGCTCCTCTGGGCCACCTCCTTTAATCTCTCCAGTGACTGTAGCCTGTCATAAAACAAAGAGATGTTCCCTTCACACTGCTTCTCCTTTGGGCATTGTCAACACCTGCGGGGAGAGAAATGTGAGAAGTCTGGACACATTTTCGAATGGGAAACGTCTGGGGAGAACAAACAAATGATCTCCATAAGTTGACCTGTTTTGTTTGTTTGGATCCCCCAAGGCATTCCCAGGACCTAGTGCCTAGGCCACAGTATGTACTTAATGAAGATTTGGGAGAAAAATGAAAGATGAATCTTGACTGGCCCAAGGCTGGCCACTTAGGGTTTTGCAGGTTGTGTAGTGACTGCACAAAATACCGAGGATCCCATTCAGACAGATATGGTTGTCGAGCAAGATAGTTTTCTGGCAGATGTTTCGTAAACTGTCTTGGAAAGGGGGAGCTTTTTTTCCTAATTTTCTTGCTCAAAGTTATAATCAGATTGTTGCCGACCTGGGTCCTTGGACTCTTTAATCAATAGAAATTGATAAGAGACCAGACGAGAAACTCAGGCAATGCTTTATTGGGACTCGTGTTGCAGCATGAGGGGTAAAAACAAGAAACAGGTGCGCTTGCTTGCTGTCCTGGGGGGGCGCGGTGAGTTAGTCCCTTAAATGGGGTGAGGGTGGGAGTGGAATGGTGGGTCGGGCCTGAGGTGTGGCTTAGGTGGCCTGACCACCCCCTTGGTGGTGCTGTGTGCAGGGATCACGTGCAGTACCCTGCTTTTGCTCCCGGCACCTCAGAAATGGCAGTTGGTTTGTGCCCATTTTGTATTCTTTTCTGTATGTTGTTCATAATTTGCCCAACGGCACTTGCATGCAGTTATTTTTAGTCTTTTATAGTTTCTTTGTACTCTTGTTGCTTGAGGAGATGTTTGTCCAGGTGCAAGCACTCCAGTAAAGGGTCCCAGGTCCCAGCCTGTCTCAAAATCCAATATGCAAAAGAGTCATTAATATCACGTTTACCTAATTTGTAGTTATTTGTACCTCTGAGTATTTGTAGATATTTATAAGTAAACTGTTCCAAAATATTTTTTTAATGTAGTTTATTAGTCATCATCACTTTCTTGATGCAGCCTGAACTCATTCTTTCTTATTTTGTCTCCACTAATGACTGAAAGTAAGCTTCTCTGCAAACTGATTGGGGTAGCTTGTGTCAATATGAAGACAGTTATCAAAGGACACACTGTGCTTCTGAGTTAAAGAAAATGCTCTCTATTTGTTCTCTTTACAGATCATTTGACAAAGGAGCCAGTGGAAGACACAGACCCTAGCACTATATCCCTTAATATGGTAGGTTACAACTTTTACATTAATGGTGATGACTCCTGTTTTTCCTTTTTCCCCTTTGTTATTTCTTTATATTTTTTATTACTTCGTACTTACATGAAATTTGAAACCCTAAAGTAAGGTTTTCCAAGATAAATTTCTTTTTCATGATATTTCTCTGTGACATAATAAACTTGGGGTTTCTCCAGGTTAAAAATGGTGTTAGACTCAGTTCTCATTTTGCACATATCAGAAGTGGTCTTCTTAGGTTACGTGAGGTCTTTATCTGCTTGTCTACTTTTAATACTATCTATTTTTAATTACCAATTCTTCAGAAATCAAAATATCTAACTTGAGATTGAAAGAAAAAATAGGACAACCTTAAAGTAAAGGCGGGCTGCCCATGTGTCAGATGGGCATACACTGTTGATTTACCTCTGTTACCACTTTTTTTTCTTTTAATTTTTAAAATGTATTTTTGGCTGTGTTGGGTCTTTGTTGCTTCACGTGGGGTTTCTCTAGTTGCGGCAAGCGGGGGCTACTCTTCGTTGCGGTGCGCAGACTTCTCACTGTGGTGGCTTCTCTCGTTGCGGAGCACGGGCTCTAGGCATGCGGGCTTCAGTAGTTGTGGCTCGCGGGACCTAGAGCGCAGGCTCAGTAGTTGTGGCGCATGGGCTTAGTTGCTTCGCGGCACGTGGGATCTTCCCGGACCGGGGCTTGAACCTGTGTCCCCTGCATTGGCAGGCGGATTCTTAACCACTGTGCCACCAGGGAAGCCCCTCTTCTGGCTTCTGATGGTCGTCGGCAGTTCTTGGTCTCCCCTGGCTTGTAGCTCATTCGCTTCGTTCTCTCCCTTTGGTGGCACGTGGCAGTCTTCTCCCTGTGTGTCTGTGTCTTGTTATCTCTTCTCCTCTTACAAGGACGTCTGTCCTACTGGATTAAGGACCTACCTTAATGACCTCAGTATGACCTCATCTTAAGTAATTCTATCTACAATGACCCTATTTCCAATGAGGTCAGTCTGAGGTACTAGGGGTTAGGACTTCGAGGTATTTTTGGAGGGGACACATTTCAACTATAACATTCCTTCCAGGATTAAATACATGGTCCTTGACATGGCAGATGAGGTCCTCTGTGACCATGTCTCAACGTCCCCCTGATGTGTGTCCCCCAGTTGTGTGTAGCTATTTGCTGCTCCTCAAATGCCCCACGCCCTCCCGCCTGTCCTGGGATACCCTTGGTGCTGGCCCCTCCCTGCTTCCTCACATAATGAACTCCTATGCAACCCGCCACTCAGCCCAAGTGTTCCTTATCTGGGAAGGCTTCTCAGCCTTGGGGCCTTCGGGTCCTGCCTTATCCATAGTCCCTACTTTTTTTTTTTTTTTTGTGGTACGCGGGCCTCTCACTGTTGTGGCCTCCCCCATTGCGGAGCACAGGCTCTGGACGCACAGGCTCAGTGGCCATGGCTCACAGGCCCAGCCGCTCCGTGGCATGTGGGATCCTCCCGGACCGGGGCATGAACCCGTGTCCCCTGCATCGGCTGGCGGACTCTTAACCACTGCGCCACCAGGGAAGCCCCATAGTCCCTACTTTTTATCGCATTGTGTGGGAATTATTTGCTTGCCTGACTTCCTGCGAGGCTGTGCTGACCGTCTTCCCATATGCAGAGTGGGGCACGAAGCAGACAGCAGTGTTAAATGAGCCAAGCTTCCTGAGATCCTAGAATGGCAGCCTTCCTAAATCCCTTTGCCTTCTTTGCAGGGTCTTCCATGGAAACTGGCTCCATTATTTCGTGTCCAACCCTGTCTTCCTTTTCCACCTCCAGCATGCATCTGCCCTACAGGCTGGCCCGTCTTCCAACCACCTGGCCTTGCTCCTCCGTGCCCACCATCTGCAATCACCATGCTCCTTTCTGTCGGTCATCTGAGTCCTGGGCATTCTCTAGGCCCATCTCAACTGTCAGTCTCTCCAGGAAACCTGCACTTGTTCGTTCATGTAGTCTGAACAGAGTCAGAATCTGGGGATGCAAAGATCATGGTCCCTTCTCTTGAAACACTCACAGTCTGTCTGAGGAAATAGACAAATACTTTGAAAAGAGCCTGATAAGCCCTATGGTACAGATGTGTTTTCCATGCTCTGGGGAGCAGAGTTTGGAGAAGGATTTAGTCTAGGGGAAAAGTATTTGATTTTTAGGTTCTCTGTGATTGATGATTGATTGATGATTTCTTTTTTCACCCAGGATTGTGGTTTATTACAGCAAAAGTATTCAGATTAAAGTCAACCAAAGGAAGAGGAGCATAGGACAGGGCCCAGGAAAGTTGCAAGCATGGAGCTTTCAGCTACCCTCTGTCAGTGACATTGTGTGGACAGTGTTTACTTGTCTCAGTAACGATGTGTGATGATACACACAGAGTATTGACAACCAGGGAAGCTCACCCCACACTTGGGGTCCAGAGTGTTACTGGGGCTCAGTCATGTAGACACGCTTGACCACCAGTGTGTCTGACCTTAGACTTCAGCCCCTTCACAGGTTGAACTGATACCGTAAGGATGATTGATTGATTTCTTTTGTGGAAAGGGGTTGGAGGCTTCTTGAAGGTTCTGAAACTTTACTGCCTAGCTCCAAAGAAACTCCAGGAAAGGGTGTTTAAAACAGAACCCCTGTTTCCACATTTGTTTCTTTTCCTCCTCTGTCCAAGGAAGATAGTGATGAGACTTACAGGAGAGTTGGGAGGTACAGTTTTCTTTTTTTTTAGGCTGGAGGACTATAGACCCAAAGGCCCAGATGCAGATGATGGTGGGAACTGTGCCGGTGTCAGAGGACAGGCTAGGGAGATTGGGTGCATCCCCACTCCTCTCATGGAAGTCTTTAGAAAATGACTACATTGTATAATCTGCAGTAGAAGCTTCCAGAAGCTTAGATACCTGCATATTTGTCGGTACCAACAAAGAAAGATGTGATTGTAAGAGCATTTGCTATTTTGAATTCCCTGTAACAGTACTGCCCTCAACTAAAGCATTGGGGAATTGTGCATAATTGTGCATAATGGGTAACTAATTCATAGATCTTCGTGCAATTAGTGGGATAGTTACCTTTTGACTCCTGTCCTAGTCAACCCGTGACAGAGCTCTCCAATTTTGAGTACTGCCCAGAACACATGCTTATTGGCCCGAATGAATGTCACAGAAATGGTGAGAAGAGATGGGTCTTTCCCCATAATTCACTACCAGAAATGTCCCTCAATTTTGAGCTGCAGGAAATAGAGAGAAGAGCACTGCAGAAAAGAGAGGAAGTGTGGTTTAGTGGTCAGAGCTGAAGGCTTCTTCTGTTTCATGTTCCAACATTAACTTCTCATCCACCTTGGTTTCATTTCTATAAAATTGAGAATGAAAGCAAGCAATGGGTCCAAGGCTAAAAACTTGCAAGGATTTAAATTAAAATCATGACTTTCCCAAGACAAAGCTTTCCCTTCACTTTGATCTTATAATTGACTACGGTGTTTAAAAATAACACTCCTCTTTTGTTGGTTTCTACAGTCAGACAAATATCCCATTCAAGACACGGGACTCCCTAAAGGTATGTACAGTTAAAGTAGCAATTTAAACTTGTGATTACTTTCATGTCTTGAACAAAGCACTAGTCAAAGTAATTTTTCATTTTCTAAAATTGTAAAACAGAAACATACTGATAATTTAGTGTATGATTTGACCTTCTCTGGTATGAAGTTTCTTATTAAAATGTAGAGATTATTTTATAGCAAATTATACATCAAATTCCTATGGTGTTTTTAACATGCATAAAATGAAGAAAGCCAGGACTGTGGGTTGCAAGTGTCAGAAATGTAGCTCAAATTAGTTTAAAATGGTGGGGGGACTTGGTAGTTTAGAGTCTTTGGGTGCTGCTAAATCCAAGCATTTAAATGATGTCTCAGGCTCAGTCCCCCACTCCCCCCACAATGGCTCTGTCTTCTGTGTTGGCTCCATACTCGAGCAGGCTTTCCCCACTTGGTGGGAAAGATAGTCTCTTGACACCTCCAGCTTTACTTGGTGCAGCTAAAGATGCCGGGGCAACAGGGAGCCTTTCCCCCAGCACACATGGCACAATTTTAGGGGCAAATCGTGAAAGGAGCAGTTTGGTCGTGTGGCCATCCCTGTATCAGCTGCTGTTGTCGGAGGATGGAGGGGTGACCAGGTCTGAGCCTTGAGGTTGGAGGATGGGGGGCGGAGGGCATGAAGTCAGTTCTACTCAAACCACAGTAAAGAGGGTTCTGTTAGCAGACAAGGGGCAAGGGATGCTGTCAGGCCCCAAAGCAAAAAGAGCTTGCTTTTATGATCCACAGGTGAATGTCGCAGGCGTGGTGCAGACCACAAAGGCCTGACTGAGCCTTTCCTAATTTCCCCTGGGGCAGCCTGCAAGGCTGTATCCAGTATGGAGGCTGAGCTGCTGCTTATCGCACTGGAGCGTTTACCTTGTGCTCTGCTGACCAGCCAGAGAGGAGGGGTGGGGAACAATCAGATCTGAGCAGCTTCAGAGATGGCAGGGGGCCCCCGGCTTCCTGGAGAGGAAAGACTTCCCAGCACAGCCTGCTGTGGGGTTCCCCAGCAGCCCTTGTGGTGATGGGTGTCACAGGGTCACTGGGCTGCGGGGTTGGGAGCTCCCTGGCAGGGCCCACCTGTGGTTAAGTCTGTAGTTCTGCCAAGTCCCCCTCCCTCATTCTCCACTCACCAGACTCTTCTTCCTGCTCTCTGAAATGACATCATTAGAGTTGCATTCCTTTTGCCCCCTGTGCACGTCCCAGGAATGGCAGTGGTGTGTAGGGAGAAGAGGCTGAAGGCCAGGTTTGAGCCCAAATCCTGGCTGTACTCGGGGAGGCTTCTCCCAAGCACACTTTGCCCTTTCCCCTCTCCACGAATGACTTCTCAGTGTCCTGAATTCCCCAAGCTGTGATTGCCTAGTTCAGCAAGAAAGTGGAAGGTGCAAGTCAGGCCACCAGGACGAATCGGAGGCCATGTTGGGCCGTGTTCCTTGGATTTTTAGGATGCAGTGAAGAATTACCTGGGGAGCTAGTTTAAAATGCAGATTCTGGACTCCGCTACTGCAAAATCATGATGTGGTGGGTCTGGGGTCAGGCCCAGAAACCTGTGTTTTTAATGCAAACCTGAGTGGGTGGGACACAGACCTCCCTTTGAGAGCCTGCCTAAGAAGCTTCAAGAATGTGGCGTGGGGGCTTCCCTGGTGGCGCAGTGGTTGAGAATCTGCCTGCCAATGCAGGGGACACGGGTTCGAGCCCTGGTCTGGGAAGATCCCACATGCCGCGGAGCAACTGGGCCCGTGAGCCACAGCTACGGAGCCTGCGCGTCTGGAGCCTGTGCTTCGCAACAAGGGAGGCCGCGACAGTGAGAGGCCCGCGCACTGCAATGAAGAGTGGCCCCCGCTCGCCGCAACTAGAGAAGAAACGAAGACCCAACAAAACCAAAAAATAAATAAATAAATAAATAAATTTATATTAAAAAAAGGATGTGGCGTGCCACATGTAGGAGACATGTAAGAGACACCCGAGCTGCAGCCAGACCGCCAGCTCTGAGAGGACTCAGCAGTTGACCTCATGGCTCAGGGTCCCAGTGTCCAGTCTGCAGTGCCGAGAGGAAAATATTACACCGACCTCCCTGGGTGCTTGTGAGAATTCAATGAAACGAGACTGGAACAGCACCTGACTCCCAACAAGCATCTGACAGGGGTGGAGGGAAACCTGGCAAAAGAATCGTGAGCAATCAGGGTAGAGGACTGTTGAAAGCTTTTGTATCGGAGAGGCAAGAGTGGAACCACCGTTTTAGGTAGACTGGGCCGCAGCAACTATCTGAAGACCTTTTCTATCACTCTTGAACATGATTTCCTGTTTTAAGAGAAAGAGATTGTTGCTTAGCAGCCTGATAATACAGTAACTGTACCGTTGGGTTTCTCCTAGAATTTGAGTTTTACAAAACCTTAATTAAAATTAATTAAAATGGTGGTGAGTTGACAAGTAACTCCAGATCTTTCCTCTGTCCTTGTTCATGGGGGGGGGCGGGGAAGTGTTATTAAGCACATAATTTCTTATCTCCAAGAAATACATCGTCTTCTATGTAATATCCAACATTTGCATTTAATAACAATTTAATGTCCACAGTATTTTTTTCAAATATACCATAATGGAGCCAGTATCATCGTTAAATGCTTATGGTAATTTTCTCACTGAAGTTGTTTTTAGGGAAACAAAGCCCATGTATAATTAGTGAAGAGACTAATTTACAGCTTAAAAGTAAATGTAGGCTTCCCTGGTGGCACAGTGGTTAAGAATCTGCCTGCCAGTGCAGGGGACACGGGTTCGAGCCCTAGTCCGGGAAGATCCCATATGCTGCGGAGCAACTAAGCCTGTGCGCCACAACTACTGAGCCTGCGCTCTAGCGCCCGTGCCCCACAACAAGAGAAGGCACCGCAGTGAGAAGCCCGCGCACCGCAACAGAGTGTAGCCCCCGCTCGCCGCAACTAGATAAAGCCCACATGCAGCAATGAAGACCCATCACAGCCAAAAATAAAAATAGATAAATAAATTTATTTTTTAAAAAAGTAAATGTAATCTAATTATATTAAGAACAATTCAGACTCTGACACTTAAGTGAATTCTAGGGGGGCTACTATATTTAATAGAGGAGTTGTTTGTAATTAGCTTGAACCATTTCCATATGATTTAAAAAGTCCTCAAAATGTATTTTCTTCAAAAAATTAGTATGTTTCACAAAGTCTTCATTATAATTCTAGTATACTCCTACTTTTCCCCTGGACAGTACAACATAGTCCCTTAACACGGTCCACACTAGAGTGGCTCTCAATAATGTGCTTTTACCATAAATCAACTGTGGGACTCTAGTGTGATTTCAATGATCAGCACGTTTTTGAGGTGTTATTATACCTGTTTTCTTGTCGGGAACAAACGTGTAGCTTCTGCCTCCCCTGATTTTAGAGATTTCGGGAGGTTCATTCTGTCAGGCTTCTGTTGTGATAGGTGCTCTGTGAGGATCTGTAGGCACCAAACTCAGGACTAATTTAAGATTGGGGTTTATCTTATATCACAGAATTCCTGTATCTCGTAGAAACTGCTGGCTTGAGGGTTCTGAAGGCAATGTGACTCTTCATATTTTGAGAGGAAAATGTCTGTGGAAAAAGAATTCTGATTTTTGAGGCACTATGCCTAGTGAGGGGAAATTGCACATAACTACATCATAAAGCAATCAAGATTTTACCATCTTCATCTTCTCTGGCATTACTGCCCTTCCATTGTTCAAAAAAAATTAAATAGCGGATGTAAAGTTAAAGAGAAGTAGACTGATTTTTTTTTTTTTTTTCTTTTCTGCGGTACGCGGGCCTCTCACCGCTGTGGCCTCTCCCGTTGCGGAGCACAGGCTCCGGACGCGCAGGCTCAGCGGCCATGGCTCACAGGCCCAGCCACTCCGCGGCATGTGGGATCTTCACTGGCCGGGGCACGAACCCGTGTCCTCTGCATCAGCAGGCGGACTCTCAACCACTGCGCCACCAGGGAAGCCCTAAACTGATTTTATTGTTAATTATTTTGAGAAATTTGAACTTAAGCATGGATGACATTTGGAATAATCCGTTAACTAAATGTAGAAGTACTAGTTCAGTTTGAAAAAGGAGAAAATAAACAAGTACTCAGGAGATCGCCAAAATAATCCCTAAGCAAAAATGTCTGCCTGAAAACTAGCAGGCCAATGTGTTGTATTTTAGATGATTTCTCATCTTGCCAGTTGACCGACAGTATCTTGCTGATAGGTTTCCTTGTTGTAACATGAAACTAAAAGCCCCTCCTTCCCGCACGATTTACCGTGACCTGGTCCCACTCATTCCACAAGTTCACTGCCTTCCACTCAGCCATGACGGAGAGTCCTGACAGTCTCCTGTTTTAGCAAACCAACTCCTCCCCCAGTTATGACACACATACAAAGGTGGCCATTCTTTTTTTTTTTTTTTTTTTTTCTTTTTTTGATGCGGACCAATTTTAAAGTCTTCATTGAATTTGTTACAATATTGCTTCTGTTTTATGTTTTGGTTTCTTGGCACTGAGGCATGTGGGACCTTAGCTCCCCGACAAGTGATCGAACCCATACCCCCTTAAGTGGAAGGTAAAGCCTTAACCCCTGGACCACCAGGGAAGTCCCGGGCGTTTTATACACTGCCCATCTCCTCTCCTATCCTCTTTGCCCTGCGTATTTGTACATTTTATTCCTGTAGTGCCATTTGTTGAGGTCTTGGGGAGGAGATAAATGCATGTGTTCAATCCACCTTGTTTGACTAGAAGTCCAGTGAATTCCTTTAAAAAAAAAACAAAAAAAAACAAAACAAAAACTTCATCTTCCTTTATAACTTGTTATAATGCCATCTATTTGCTGCGGAGAACATAAACAAAAGAAGAAAAATGTAAAACTAACGAACCCATGTCTCCTGCATCGGCAGGTGGACTCTCAACCACTGCGCCACCAGGGAAGCCCCGAAGGTGTTTTCTTTTATGGAGGGTAGAGGGGAGGGAGAGGGGTGCAACCACAGGAGTGCTTGGGGGACCATGTAAGAAAAAGTTGCTTTTTAATTTCAGGCTAACATTGCATTGGGAAATAAAAAGCCTCACTTGTCCAATAATGCTGGGTTAACAATTATGACGCTGGCCATTGTGAGAATTAGTATGACTGAAGTCACATATCTGTGACTTTTTGCTGTGAAAAATTAGTGTGCATCCGAATTCTGTGGGGTGCTTGTTAGGTGTCAGATTTCTGGGGTCCCTGAGATTCCAATTCAGAAGGTCTGGAGTGGAGCCCAGGAATCTGCATTGTTAACAGGCAACCCCGGGTGATTCTGGTGCAAGAGAGCTGGGACTGTCTTGAGAAACAGAAGGCTAGGTAAGCTCTCTACTGCTCCAGCTTAAAAAGATACCGTATGGATTCTTAATAAGAGACCGTGCTTTTAGTTTAAATTTTGCAGATAATGATGTTAAGGAAAAAATGGCCTTTAGTCAGAATTGTGTAGGCAGCAATAAATATAGCCCCTTATATGAATAAATCTATCAGCGCAGCCTATAATAGGTCAGTGAATGTTAAGGAATGTAAAAATAAATAGATGAATTAATCTGTCACTCAGTCCTAACTTTTGAACCTTGAATTAAATGATTCTCTAGTAAGGGCTTTATTAACTAAAATTTTACATGCCACTAAACATTTCTTTCATAACATAATATATTACTGGCGATTTTCAAGGTTAGAGTGCGATGTTGAATTCTGTGGTTAAAGATTAAAATCTGGGGGCTTCCCTGGTGGCACAGCGGTTGGGGGCCCACCTGCCGGTGCAGGGGACACGGGTTCATGCCCTGGTCCGGGAGGATCCCATGTGCCGCGGAGCGGCTGGGCCCGTGGGCTGTGGCCGCTGGGCCTGCGGGTCTGGAGCCTGTGCTCCACAGCGGGAGAGGCCACAACAGTGAGAGGCCCGTGTACTGCCAAAAAAAAAAAAAGATTAAAATCTGATGGAACAAAATCGGTTTTTAATGCATTTGTACAATCTTCACCACAAGTTGGGGAACTGTGAAGTTAACACATATGTAAGACAACCTAAGGATGGAATTTCCTTCCTACCAGTTAATTCCGAAAGGTGTTAGACATTTCACATGCCTATCATGTTCCTTTGACTTTCACTGGCAATCCCCACTTTAACCATAGAACTGAAATGGTTTTGGTTTGATTTTTAGGAGGGTGAGCTATCAAGACAAGTATAATCCCACTCTGCTGTCTGAGAGATTTAGTAAACTGTCAAACAGTGAACACCGTGGAATCTGATGTAAGGTTATCAGAGGGGAATGTGTTTGGACTACCTCCTGTTCACCCTGTTGGTGAGGGAGGGATCCTGCCCTGGGGTTATGGGGATGGCCACACACAGGACACCTGACACTGGGCAGGTGAGATTGACAGTAGCTTGTGAGTCACGGATATTCACAGCCTGGAGAGGGAGGACGCTGCACCCCATGCAGGGTCGCATGGGGGTTGCACTTGGGAACAGAGTGAACAACCAGGGGCTGTGGGTGACAAGCGCTGTCCTCTCAAGAGGGTGTGTGACCCCTGGTTCCCAGGGAAGGATGTGATGACTTGTCTGAATAATTCAGTAGTCTGGCAGGGAACTGAAACCCACTGCTCAGGGATAAGCAGGGACTGTGCCTGGTCCCCTTGAAAAGGAGCGTTGTTTAGCTGGCGGTTTTATCCACAGGAGCAGAGCGGGGAGGGGAACTTGCAGCTGGGCCATTCAAGGTCCTCCTGGTTTTACCAGATGTAAACAGCACATAATATTGAGTCTTAATTTTAGGCCTTACAGCCACAGAGTATATGCTTTCTTTATCAAGCTTGCATCTTTTTTTTTTTTTTTTTAATCCCTAGCAGAGGAGTGTGATCCAATTAGTTTGAACTGCCCAACAAATTCTGATGTGCAACACCAGGTAAGAATAATTTCAGTTATATTTTTACCCTTAGGTACATGCTAATCCAACTAGAATTTATTTAGGAATTGTCTTCTAGAGCTTTAAAAATAAAGAAAGAACAGGATTTTTAGATAATAAGTTTGGAAATGATCTTTAAGCATCCCAGTAATGTAGCACATCTATACAACTTCTGTTACTTTTAGTAACTTTAATCCATTTTTTGGAAATAAATATTTATCCAGATGCCCAAAACCATCAGTGTTACTGAGTTAGAGAGTTGCTTTCTTTCGTGTGTAGTTGGTTTGCTGTGGATAGGAACTTTTTAAAAAAGCCTCAACAAAACTAGGTAGTTTTAAAACATTTTTGTAATGTTTTATAAAACTTTTACTTTGTTCAGATATCAGATATCAAATTTTAACACATTATTTTAATTGTCCTTTTCCAAAATATATCTATTGTTTTCTGATTATAAAAGACTGTTATTTTAAACTTCAGATACAACAAAAATGTACCAAAAGGTTGAGAATCGCTTGTCACATTCCATTGTTCACCTTTTGAGGTACATCCTTCCAAAAGCTTCCGTGGGTCACCGTGTGCTTCAGTTACTACTTATACTTTCCAGCCCATCTCTGTTCACTCACTCAAAGCTCATTAGCAAAACTGCACAATACCTCACATCTGTTAAACTATAGTTAGAACACTAAATGTCTCAAAAAAGATGTCTTGCCTGAAGATACACTGGTTGGGTTCTGCTCTCTTTATAATATTGATACCAAGTTAATTTTTAGCAAGACAGATTTGAAGCTTTGTTTAGTCCTCCTTTTAAAACATCAGTCAGTAATCATTAATAGTGATATTCCTGGATAATCAAATCACTTTTGTAGCAGAGCAGAGTTATATAATAGTTGATAAAACAAGCAATTTTAATCATAAACACAGTTCTCTTGAAAATCGTCAGTGGTGCTACTTTTTTTTTTTTTTTTTTTTT